TTTTTTGCAGATCAGTCATAAATCTGAATGCCTGTCAGGTGAACTTTGCTACTTGCAACATCACGAGAACCATTGCGTGTGTGCACCTAATGAGCGTGCGTTGAATGAGCACGTGTGAACGCTTGCGTGTGTTCGCCTTATCAAAAAACAAACAAAAAAACTAAAAGTTTAAATCCCATCTCCTTCCTAAATCACATCCTGTCCTCCATACCCCCCCACCAACACCACCACCACCACTCGGTCTGAAATGTTCATATCTTGAAGTAAGGAAAGAAAAACTCTTCTACTCACCTCAGCTCTCATTTTTTATCTTTATTGTCAAGTACCACAACTCATCATTTTGGCATCAAGGGACACCTGTCAGGGCAAGTTCTGGGGCATAAATCTGGTCAGTTTAATGGTATACCCGCACAAACTGGGATCTACAGCACGGCTCGAGAATCCCATCTTAGTCCTAAACCTTGCTCATACACTGATGTGCACGGGCATGTGTGTTTGTGCCCTGAGAGTGCAGCGGGGAGGTAATGGCTAATGATCCTTGAACATCAGTCTTGACCTACAGCACATCCGGATCTATTCCAGGCAAGAGGTTTTTTAACTCTTTCATGTCACAGATCAGAGCCCTGCAGGAGCGCTGGGGGAAAACGATTGGCGTGGAGCACCGGAGAGAGAGGAAAGCCATATATATATTCCGCAGCAGGTCAGAGCGGATGCAAGCGCACGGGTCAATTAAAGCGTTTAGTACGGATGCAATGACAGCCGTGGCTACGCTTAGTGAAAGACACTGTCACTTCTTTTATTTCCATACTGCTGTATTCCATATTCTACCTTCACAACCTCTGCACGCTCAAAGATTGACAGATTATTAAAACACTCCAGCTGTGACAACCCAACAAGCATGTCCATCGGTCGTGTGTGCGGAGGAGAGACAGTAAACCGACCTGACCTTCAGTCTCAAGTTCATGGCCTTTTGAACCGCCCCCTTAAAAACCATGTGTTTTGACGAAGCTCCAACATGCTACAGCTACGGAACTGACAGTAAATGAGGCATCAACATCTCGCTAACATGGACTCGAAACCTCAAAGGTGCACAACACAAATATGGCAAGACTCGTGAAAACACACTGGGAAAATGCATAAACACTGTTGACAGTGTCACCCCATCTTCTTCAAGATGTGTTAGACTGCTTTATCATTCAACCATAATGCCTCCCTTTGGATTGCATGCTGCAGTTGTAGTTAAGACCGGAGCAGCAATAAATTAGACGACTCTGCTGCTTTGCTGCAATACCCATGGCTCTTACAGTGAACCTGATGTGGCTTGAGCTTATGATAATGTGGCCCTGGGCTAATTTACATGCACGATTGCTGGAAAACGCATCGAATCTGATCAGACTTGTGAAAGGATCACCGCGTAGAGGAGGGTGATTGGAGTCTCCCTCGTGAACATTCGCTCGGAGGGAACAGGAAGTGGCTTTGTGCATGGCCCACGCTACGCTGACATGTTGGAATGCCACATCAATGTTATTTGCAGCTGCACTGGGAACCCGGCGATGTCCCCTTTCACATCAGCAGCCCGAGAAAGCATCTTTATGTGCATGTAAGCGTGGACTCGAGAGAGAGACCAGTACAGTACATACGGTAAAGATTTCATCTTCCACAAATCAGGGAGAACTGTGGAGTTTGCGCTGATGTCAGCTACTTTGAGTCCACAGGAGATCAAGCGAAGGAGATTTAGATGAACCCGGAATAGAAAAAAGAGAGGAGACATTATCCAGCTTTGACTTTGTCAGCCCTTTGTCTAGTCAAACATATATTGTAGTAATAAATTGCGGTTACTCTCCTGATGCTGTTTTGTAGATTCACATTAGGGCTGATAGTATTTTATAACCAATCAAAGAGCTTTTTCACTATTTTCTTTAAGCAGCAAAGCAGACTGGGCGTCCCGCCAAGTTTTTACTGTACAAACTGATTTCATTTCATTGAATTATGGCCAGCGATTTCCTGACGTGGACTGCTTTCCATTTGTCTCGTCTCCGTCCATCCCCTGGCTGCTCCACAGAATCGATGGCTGTCCGGAGGGAGTGAGGGACGTGACGTACCGTATCTTATGGCTGTCTCATGCAATTTTTTTCCACTCTCCCTGAGGTAAGAGGATGGGAGAGTCAAACAAATAGTGCCTTGTGTTTTCACCCCCATGTTTGTATGCAGTGCCACAACCAGGCTCCCTGCCAAGTTCTCCCCCCCCCCCCCTTGCCAGACTGCAAAAGCAAAATACAAACCAGGGCAACCACCACCACCGCTGCCTTCACCTCCAACCCTGCTCCCCTTGCACCCCCCCCCCTCATCAGAGCACTGGCGAACAACAAAAGGAAGCGAAGCAAAGAGGCAGAGTCCACGCGAAACGTGCCCAGATTAGGCCGAGGTGATGATGAAGATGATCGGGCGGAGGTGAAGGCTGAGGGGGAGGATTAGAGAGGAGTAGGAGTGGTTGTTATTTCACGGACAAGACTCCGTGCCCTCTGCCATTGAGCCGACGCCAGCTGGGACGAGGAGTGGCATCCTTTTGCTTTATCGCTTCTTGGTTTGCTTATGTTTTCAATGAGACCATTGTATGAGCTGGAGGAAGGATATGAGGTCCCATTTGGCTATCATTGACATGTAAAAAGAGTGTGGCGGTGACAGCTGACGAGATCAGTGGCCTGTAATTAGCTGAGAATGTAGGATGGACTCTCACCCTTCTGTGCCAAACACAAACACACACACACACACACACACATCCAAAAGTGTAGGGGTTTCCACATATAAAGATATAAAAGACACCAAACTGCCTGGAGGTAAAATTATGAGTTATCTATTAGGCTATGTGTGAGGTTTCACACTGATGCAAAGCTTCTCTGGGTGCTGTAAATCTAAAGGCGTGAAACATGTGGTCCGGGCCTTAAAAAAAAAAAAAATGAAAACAATTTAAAGCCTTGCAGTGCTCAGGGGAGAAACAACTCAGACATTGATCCATGGGATACACAGGTGCGATAAGCCGACTGCGGACAGCCCAGTCTGAACACACCTCATAAATCACAACACTACTGAATGTGAAATATACTGAAAAGTGGCTTAATATGTTTGTGGGGGGGGGGGATATCACTTGTCTTGCAAACAGTTGCCTAGTTACACATCCAGCAAATACAGAGCAGTATTCATCTAGAGTTGTGTTTCTGTCTATTAGGTGAATGGAAGTCCAACATTAAAACTCTTTCAGCTCCATGTTGGTCTCCACCAACTCCTGAGTGAAATATCTGTCTCTTTAGTTACTAAATGCTCCACTGTGTTTCACTAATTTTGATATTTTGGTTGAGGTGCAGTTGGTTTATCTCACAGCACTAAAGATGCACACAATGAGCTGAAAGACGCTAAAAAAAAAAAACTCTTCATAGAGCTGAGTGTAACTGCAGGGACAAGTGACCCTTTCATGAACACTTGAGGTTTAAGATACCTGCCTCCACCTCATTACAGTGGACGTGAATGGGATTTTCACACACAGCATTCTTCTTACGCTGGAATATTTTACTGTCGACAGCTTTTATAAAGACTTTTTCTTCTGTAGAAAGTAGTCCCTTTGTAATTGAACTCCAACTCCAACACATAACCCCGCCCCCCTCCACCAAAAACCACAAATTGTTGTTTTTACATTTCTCTTTCCTCACGAGTTAAACAAAAGAGATACAACATGTTAAACAGTCATCCGTAGAAGTGCTGAAAGGCGTATTTTTTTTCGCTTTGGACAGAGCCGGGAGAGCTTCCAGTCTTTATGCTCAGAGAAAAATTGACATCGATCTTCTCATCTCTCTCTTAGCAAGGGAAAGCTAAGTAAAGAGAAAGAAAGGAATCTCCTCCAGTGCTGCTTTAAAGATAAAGATAAATTTTGGTGAGCTGAGAGCTACATGTAAATCAAAAACAACACAGACCTCAATCCATGCTGTTATGCTATTATTCTCGGCTGTCCAAAGGGCCTCTTACTGGAGGACAGTGTATCTGTGTGTGTGTGCGTGGGGTCGAGGGGTACCAACAGACAAGTTACCGTGGTGATTAAGCTCCTCTTTCAAGCTGAAGGTGGGCCTTCTCTTTGAAACGGAGGATCTGGGCTTGTGTCAAACCACCACAAGGGTTCGCTCAAAAATCCCACCGATGACAGTTGTAGTTACGAGATGAGGAGAGCCATCCCACTGCAGAGGACATCGACCTGCAGGACCCAGCGCTCCCATGGGAACCTGAGGAAGCTCCTAGTCGCCCTTTTGTGCCCCCCCCCCCCTCCCCCTCCCCTCTTAAAACCGGTGCCTCTTCCATCACCCTTCCTGAGCTTTCCAATGAACCCTTTGATGTCCTGGGATCTGGGCAGCGGACTGTTAGCCTGAAGGGGGAGATAGCTTGGAAAGACACCCACCAATGAAGAGATGGAGAAAGATGGATTCAAAGAAACGGGGAAAGGTACTTCGTCGTAGATTTAACTTGTAAAGGTTCGCACCAACCCAAAAAGAAAGGAGTCTTACAAATGCCTCGTTCACGTCATACGGGGTGGATGGATGAGATGGAGGGACAAGGACGCCGTTTGTTCATTAATCCTCTTTTTCATACTGAGTTACTACGGCCCTCGTGGGAATCAGTTTCAGCCCTGTGATCAAACAAACGAACTCCGATCGCAGGTGTGAACATCAGCCTCTAGGAATAAGTTCCCATATCAGAGAACTGATCGAGACTGGCGTGCAGCGTTTTGCATGTGAATGAATAAAGGGGGAGAGCGGCTTTCATTTGTGATCAAACGTAAAGTCCTGTGTTTGCTGCCGCTTATGGAGATGAACCATCTTCATCTTCTTCCATCACTAACAGAACGCTGATGTGAATGGTGCACCCCCTTGTGACAAGATTGTGGAATTGATATATACAGAAGAGACTTGCCTTCCTGGGCTCATTTGGATGATTCTGGAGTAAAATACGGTTTAAAATTCATATGAATTGATTTAATTGAGAAAACAACTCCACATACAGATTAAAAAAAATAATAATTTTGAGATTGTAAACACACTTGCATGTAGTGAAATCAAGACGGACATTGTTGCATTTATGTGACACAATACAAAATTACTTTTTACAGCTCTTACAGTAAGAATACAAGTGGAGTGGTCTGCCTTAGAGAGAGTTTTATACCAACCACAGTTAAAAAATACAGCTTTGTATCATTTAATTGATATTTTTACTTCACTGAACAAAAGCCCAAAAAATATTAAAGAACCTTTCGCAAAATAAGAGCAAAGTCAATTAAATAAATTGCTTTCGAAGCTAAGAACAAATATAGTTTGTTTGTTTTTTTTAATGAAATGTCACCGATAAAAAATGATCTTAAGTGAAAAGTGGTTGAGTTTGCTTTGTTGTATTGTGCGTCTCTGCCTTATGAACCTCTTTCACCCTCTAGTGATGGTAAATTGTTACTGAAGGAGCAGCAGCGGACCTGCCTGCAGACTGGTCACATTACATGTGTTCTGGATGGTTCTGCAGACAGGTGATGAACTCTTTCACCTCTTTCCCCTCAAAGCAGATCTGGTAGACGGCTGCAAACAAGGGAAACCTACAGGAGAGAAACAGCTATTCAGACTTCATCCACATAAAACGCTCAAATATTGGTAGAATAATAGGACTCTACTGTACACCCACACAGGTGTTCTCACTTGTGGCTAATTAGACCTCAGCTCAGACTGAATGCAGGCTGGTAATCACATAATGCAACAAAACTAACAAAATGGGGAGGATGTCAGTCAAGCATAGACCATCCTCATCCAGTCTTCAGAAGAGGTCTAATCAGGCAGCCTAAGTGGAAACACCTGAGAGGAGCGTGGGCTGTGCACACTCTAACTGTTTGATTGCAGAAATGTCAGAAATGCAGATGAATTCATTCTGGTTACTTACTTTCATATGAATGTATGTGTGTACAGTATGTATTTAATGTTCAGAGCCAATTTATTATAGGTAATAACAGTTCACCATGTTTAGGGACGTAATCAACATTACTGTTTATGCTTATTAATGCAGAACTACACTCTGTATCCACGTTATTACACCCGTACAATCCACTGACACCCATTAAAACTGTTATGCCATAAAGTCTAGTTAGTCTAGAATTTATCGCTGGTGTGTTGCGTTGAATTGCAACAAAATGCAGAGTAAATGCATCTAAGATTTTGACGCGGTTGAAAACTAATTGTGAAGAGCAGGTTTTATTTTGTTTTTTTTTTGAAGTGCACTCACTGGTTGACTATGTCGTTCTTTTGCAGGATCTTGTAGACCTCAGCTGAAGTCTGGGGACCCTGAAGCTTCTGGCCGTTGAGCATTTCTGCCTCCAGTTCAGCGATTGACTGACGAACCAAACATAAAAATAATATTAATAATTAGAAATAATAATCAAAATAAATAAAATAAAAAATAGCGATCTCCTCTTCCTGATTCACCTTGGCTGTTTTGACGAAGGCCTCGGCAACTTTACGGTTCCGTCCCCCGTAGCAGGTGGTGATGAGGTCGGCCACGCCGCAGCTTTCCAGGAAGGTGGAGGAGCTCACTTGGCTTTTGCAGAACAGTTTGGAGAAGGCGACCATTTCCATCAGACCCAGCCTGATCACCGCCGCTTTGGTGTTGTCGCCGAAACCAAGGCCGTCGCAGAATCCAGCACCTACCGCCACAATATTCTGGAGGGGGAATAAATTAAAGGATACAGCCATACATCTTTTTTTTTTCCTGATTTAATGCATAAAAACTACTAAATATTCACAATATGTGGCTGCCTTTACCTTTAAGGCTCCGCACAGCTCCACTGTGTCACTCTCATGTACGACGTTGATGCGAAAGTTGGAAGTCTGAAGCAGCTCTTTGAAGATTTGGCCGTTTCCCTCATTTTTGGCCCCTACGTTTGAACACAGTTTGTTAAAAAGAAAAAGGACACAAGCATAACATCAGTCAGGGCAACAGGGCAGTAACACTGCAGCCTCTGCAACGTCAGTTAAAGATTATGCAGCTGAATGCTAAATTAACAGCGTCTAACCAATGGTGGTTTCACAGAACTTCTCATCTGCCACCTCGCTGGCGATGTTGGCCCCCATCAGGACGCTGACCTCAATCTCCAGTTTTTCTCGGATGATGTCTGAGATGAGCTTCAATCCATCTGGTCCCTCATCTATACCCTGGAGGACAATAATAAGAGAGAGAGAGAGAGTTTCTGAGTCTCTGTACAATACTTAGTGGCCTGGACAGGGTGTTGGCCTTGATGATAGATGCGTGTCAGAGTGAAGATTTATTTCTGTGTTGCTCAACTGTAACATCCCGTGATGCCGTGGCCACAGAAAAACATGAAGTCAGGTGATGGTTTCCTCTTTTTGCTGACAGGAAACGTGACTTGAAGAACAATGCCGGGCTCTTACTTTGATGAGCGATATCCCGATGGTTCCCTCTGTGATGTGAGGTTTCATCTGATCACAGAGCTTGCCGATGAACTGGTGCGGGATCACAAACACGAGGATCTTTGCTCCTTTGACGGCTTCTGTGATGTCTGGGACAGCGATCTAGTGAGGCGTCAAAGCAGGACATGTCGACAAAGAGAGCTGACTCCAAACAAAATGCTGTGTGAACGTGAATCTCTGCAGCTTCTACCACTGACTTCCCTCTGTATGAAATTGTTTTCACATTTATTATGTATCAAGACAAACTTTTTGAGACGTACCATCTTGTTTTAAGGAAACTTTTTGTCTTTTCATTGCTATTATTATTAATATTTTAGAGAAGATGCAGAGATAAAGGTAATAAACGTCAAAAATAACAACAAAAAACAATACACAAAAAGGTCCTATTGACATAAAATAAAAAGAAGAGAAGAAGAAGATTTTCTAATAATGTTTGACATCACTGAGTAAAATTCTTCTATATAAGTCAGTTGTAGCTTAAGCAATTTGTCTATTACACTACTCTGTAGTTTGGAAAAGAGCATACGTGAATTTCCCCTAGGGGATAAAAAAAAGTATCTATCTATCTATCTATCTATCTATCTATCTATCTATCTATCTATCTATTCAGTCTTCACAGACACCAGGAAACCTTTACAGTGCAACCAATTACATGGCAAAGGCAAATACAGTAGATGACACACAAGACACATGGGTCAAAGTGAAGTTCTCTTATCAGTGTATGTTTCCAGATTGCAATGAATTGCATAACCTGTGCTGTCAACACACGGGATGGGCTGTGTGATTAAAAGATAATGCTCCTTATCAAAACTCCCCCGTGCACTACAGCACTTACCACATTCCTGGGCAGCTTGTGACCTGGTAGATATTTGACATTTTCATGATCCGTATTGATGATCTCCGTGAGCTTCCTCCCATCGATCATTTCTTCATACACCCACATGTTGACCATTGGGTCGAAGCGGTTGGACGCTTTGACATTGCGCCCGATGATTTTGGCGATGGAGGAGCCCCTGGAGAGAGTAAAGGACATTGTCAGATAATCAGTGTTGAATTTAAATCCACCAGAAATTATGAAAGTCTCACAGAATGCAAACGCTGCCCAAAACACTGCAGGTCCAGAAACATGGGAAACTTAAACTCATGCATTGGTTTGAATGTTATTTTATAGTCGGTCTTTTGTTCAACAAAACTGAAAAAATGTTATTTTGCAGAACAATGGGGAACAAATAATGTACAGTAATCAGTGATTGGTCTACAACCTCCCTATTGAGACAATCTGTAAATAACAATGTAATGACCAAACATTGGTGCATGGTGAAGCAAAACTTTCCATTAAGGATTGAAAGGTCGTTATGACTCAGGCATCAAAGTAAACAGGCCTCCTTATAAAAGGCTTTTCATGTTGCAGCTTGCAGGTTGTTATAATGTATGCTGCTGTCCAAAGGAATTAAGGCTGGCTTTCACAACAAAGCAAAATTATTCTGGTGAATACTTGGGCCACATATTTGTGTTTCTTCTGGCTCGGTATATACATATATATATGTATATACGCGCCCAGTTCCTCGGCCCAACCAGCACTGGAGGATAACAGCTGGAAACAGCCCAGATGTGGACGTATATATATACCGGACTCTGCTCAAGGAGGCAGGGCTTTCACCAGAACAAGTTTTGCTATATGCGCAACAGTTGGACGTTTTAGTTTCCCATTTTTGATGTGATGAGAAATTACCTGAGGATATTGCAAGAATAGCATGTTGCTGGTTTGAGTCTAAATCTTAAGAAACAGTTTTCACGTTGAGTTAAGCGCTGATTGCATACTTCCAAATACATAGACTAAAAACGCGATCTTGTTTCTAAAAGTTGCATCTAAGACACACATGAAAAGTTACCAGTTTCCAGATCCAACGATGCAGACTTTCTTTCCGGGCATTTTGAAAGTGGTTAGTCCTATGGCTCGGTTACAATGAAGGTCCTCTTCTGTTTTTACCCCGTCTTTAGTAACTTCCTCATACGCCCTATAAATTTCTCCTTGATTCACTCCTCCCCTCGAGCACATAGGATACACCTCTTACAGTGAGAAGAGTGGAAATCACATAAAAAAAAACGTCTTGACACATTTGTAACACTTCTTTTTCCATTTCCACGTGCGTTTTGAGGTTTACAATTCAATACTGGGCTTAATTTTTAAAGCTGGATGGATGCTGGGAGTGCACGTAGAAGAAAGGAAAACCTAATGTATAATGCATTCATGTTTAAGCAATCATTTATTATTAATTATTGACTGGAAATATGGGAACCTGCTGGCCCCAGTATTTTATCTTAACCAACCGGCATCAAGGCGGAAATGGGTACTTAATGACACTTCCGGTCAAGAGGTTTTTCAACACAATACTAGTGAAACAATCACAATATCTGCTCCAACACATAAACAATAACAAGAAAATACATAAACACCTCAATAAATATTTGCAGTCAATATGTTGAAAAATATCTGGAAAAGTAAGCAAAGTTTTTTTTCTTTCTTTTCTTTTTTCTTATAATGGTGCAATCACGGTGATATATTTGCTCCCATTTACCACATACAGTATTGATAGGTTAACTAAGATATTGCCTGTGGCCTATAAGATATAATAAAATTGATTTTTTATTTAATCATTCCCATTCACCACATATGAATAGATAAAAAATATATATAATAATAAATTATTATGATATTACTATTCTCAAAATATGTAAAAGTAAAAAACAAAAATATATCTTTTAGATATTAATCTGTTTATTTATTTACTTATTTGTTTATTAACTAAAATACTACCAGTAGCATACAGGAAAACGAATTAAATCAAAAAAATATCTCAACTTCGTCACGAATGTAATGCTTTCTCTGTGTACGTTTTTTTCTTTTCTTTCTTTTCTTCTTTTTTTATTTTTTATTTTTTTCTTTGAAAGTGATGGAAGCAGGTTTTGGTAGATTTTTGTGGCTATTTTTCTATTTTAATTTTTATTCTAATCGAACACGGAAGCCTGCTCTTGTGAGCGAGTCACATGACTGTTTTCCTGCCAGAGCAGTAAATATCAGGCGAGCTAGCAGGAGCAGGCTAACGAGCTACTCCCTGTATCAGCAGTGTAGACCATGTTTTATCAATCTTTATTAACATAGCCAGGTTAACCGTCCAGCGTCTGAAGGGTGTGTGGTGCGTTTCGATAAGCGATGAACCGACACTTTCACTCTGTAATATAAAGGAGGCTCGTGACACTTGAATCAAATCTGTGGTGACTTAGCTTAGCTAGCTTCACTGGTTAGCCTAACGCTACCAAGCCTGAGTTAGCGTCTAAAGCGGGTTGCGTTGCTAGTGACTATGCAAGCGGAAACCACGGCTTTAAGAATCACGGAAAGCGAAGGCAAGCTGGATGTATTTCCCCAGAACAGGACCCCAAGCTCGGGGAGAGCAAGTGCCAAAAGCTGGCAGTATAGGTGGGTGGCTGTTTATTCTGCTAACGCTCAAGCATTAAGCTAGTCTTCACATCTAAGGCGTATTTTGGTTTGTCCACAGTAAGTCACAAGCAGCATAAATGTGATTTATACATATTGTTGTGTTTTTATAAATGGTGAATCATCATGTGTTTGGACTCTCCAATGACTGACTAATTTTGCTCATAAGTTTATGATTAAATTAGCTTTCTTATCAGAAAGATAACAGTTGCATTATGTTGCCATTTGAGCAAAACTGTCACTAGGCAAAACTCTGTGATTGATTTGTGTATTTACCTTTGTTTGTATATGGGTGTGTACTCAGTCCAGGTATTTTAACAAGTATTCTTTGTCTCCTTATGTCTCATGGCAGTGATCACATGGAGAATATTGATGGCTATTTAATGAAATACACCAATCTGGTGACAGGGTGGCAATACAGGTGAGATTTTAGACCTTTGTTTGCTATAATGTTAATCTAAAAGGTATATAAGGTTAAGACAAGGGAACTGTCTTATAAGATTTCACCATCAACTTTCAGCCAAGTTCATTATTGTAATCCAGACTAATCCACTTCAAGTAATGCCATGGTGGTTTATACAGTGGACAGACATTGTTGTGGTGGTTGTTATTTTCAGGTTCTTTGTCTTAAACAATGAGGCGGGTTTGCTGGAGTACTTTGTCAATGAGCAGTCTCGGCCCCAGAAGCCCAGGGGCATGCTCCCCCTGGCAGGGGCCGTCATCTCCCCCAGTGACGAGGACTCGCATACCTTCACAGTCAACGCTATCAGCGGGGAGCAGTACAAGCTCAGGGGTGGGTACCTGTCTTAAATACACACACTGCCTTCTTGACATTTATGTCTTAGCATATTTCTCTTACAGACCAGAGTGTATCATGTAAGCTTGCTCCTCTTTGAGCTTTCATTCTCACCTTATTGTTGCTTGTCAGCTCTATTTGTACGTCCAGGCATACTCTCATCACCATCCATCAAGTCCATACAGTATTGATCTGAATGTTTTCCATTATCTGCTGCCGGCGAGGCAGAAGCACACAGGAATTGATGCTGAGTAAGATCATCCTAGAGTAACTGTAACATGGTTTTGCTTTCTTGTTTTTCTTTTATATGCGTCTTTCAGCCACCGATGCCAAAGAGAGGCAGCACTGGGTGAGCAGACTGCAGATCTGCACACAACACCACACAGAGGCCATGGGGAAGGTAAGACAGTTAATATGTTTGGCGTGCACATGAACACATATTGACAGAGCTACATGTTGATGTTTGTAAGGATCACTATATATACAGTATATATACACACCGAAGGCCTGCTCTGCGTTAGTACTGTTACACTGTATTATATAAATAATGTGTGATGATCCAAATAAAACATGTGACTTTCTCACAGAGCGGATGTGAGCTGGACAGTTTTCAGTTTCCTTCTTTCCTTCCTCATATGCCAAAGAAGCAATCGAACAAAGCAAGTTGCAGGGCAAAAATCTGCACAGCTGTGGAATATTCATGTTGATGTAAAAATGTATCAGGTTTTACCCTGTGTGTAAGCACAGTAATCACTAGTATTGATCTGGATATTGATCTACACTCTAGTACACTGCCCACAACCTCTTTTAATGGGGTTGAGATACATGAGAACTTCCCAAGGTGCTCTTTTTGGCTGTGGCTTGGAATAGTCAACAAATGACAAGATGGTTTTTACAGCAGGTGTATGCACTGTTACTGTAACTGTAATATGCTTGACTGTAATTTACACCTTTTGAAAATTACATTTCAGATCTTTATTGCTTGTTGTGCCTCATTTCTTAGTTGTGCATTGGTCTTCCACATCTGAGACTGAGCTAAACCATAAACATAGCCTAACAACATATAACCTTTTTTGAAATGTTTTTTCCCCATTGTTCAGAGTAATCCCCCACCCAAGTCCCGGAGCTACTCTATGGCATCTCAAGGCAGCGGCAGCTCACCGATGTCCCTGCGCCGGCCCAGCCAAAACCCTGCCTCCTTATTCGGCTGGTCGCAGGTCCACAAGGGCTCGTCGCTTTACTCCAGCAAGAGGTCCCTGCTGCCAGACCACCTCATGGACGCCAGAGAGGTACTGCAAGCCACAGACACATTTGCGAGCATGCTTGGCTGACACAAATGTGTTGATGTTGTTTTTCTCAGAATCTTGTGTTTTTGCAGTTACATCGGTTAACGTATCATTCAGGACATCGTGTTTATTTGTGTTGTGTGGGTGATTAAAGATCCATTCAGAAAAGTCTTAGTTTGAAGTTTTTAGATTACGTCATTACACTCCCTGTGACCCACCATGCTCATTACAGTGTACATGTAGCAGGGTACAGGATGTACATAGGCAAAATTAAATTATGGACATTAAGGACAAGTTTTTAATCTGCTATTTGGCAGAAATCTAGATTACAAGTTAAACCAAGAAAAAATGAAGCTGATCCAATCGAAATGCAGTTAGATTTTGATGAGATTCTGTCTCTGGGAGGTTTGATGTATCTGTTATGCAACCAAAGCTGTAGCCAACAGCATCTTCAAAACCTCTGCCATGTCCTGTTCCTGTTGCCATATGAATTTCACAAATGTTGCGCCATGAATATTATGGTGAGTCTGATTCATAATGTGTGGAGATGAATTAGATGAGCAGGAAATAATGATGCTGGCTCTCTACTTGCTACACAATGTTTCATTAATGTTTAAACTTTTGTGCAATGCGACGTTGCCTAAATGAAATTTTGATCTCTTAAAGGGCTTCTTAGAAGTACAAGCAAACAGTATGTTCCTACAAGACATGCAGTTGTAAAGGTAAAATATTTAGGACTTGGTTCGCAGCCGTGAATTCTCCTCTTCACTTTGACCCATTTGGATGACGCAGATTCTCCACCAGAGAGTGCTGTTGTCTTTGTCTCAACCTCAGTAGACCACAGCAGCACAGTCGGGATCAGTCATGCTTCTTGTTCTCTATGGATTTTCTTCTTCTCGGGACCCTTAATCATAACATGGAAGTTAGTTAAAGGGATTTAATTTTCAGCTTTTAAGCAGAGATACAAATAAAGACCCAACATAAACGTGTAGATCTAAAAATGAATGTAAAGTTAACTAAAGTAGAAGGCTAATTTTTAATGGTAATGTTTTTGCTATTATTAATCTTGACACATCATTTTTTTCCCCACTATCTACTTCCAGATGATGAGCCAGGCCCAGGGCCAGCACCGAGACCTGATCCAGAGTATCGAGGGCTTGCCCGCAGCCCCCGGCCTCTCCCCTCTAGACCAGGATCTGCTGATGCTCAAGGCCACTTCCATGGCGACCATGAACTGCCTCAACGAGTGCCTGCACATCCTTCACCTACAGCAGGTGGCCAGGCAGAGAGGCTCCCTGGGAGGTCAGTGGAGGGCTGTTTCTGTATAAATTGTTTGTCAGGATATGGAGGTTGTTGCCTCATCTTAATTCGTTTATGCATTTGCTGGTTATTCTAACAACAACGTACATGTATGCCAACCACTTTTTTTTTTCAGGAAGTGAGTATTTCTGCTATTAGACTCTGCGGATTAAGTGTCTTTGTCCTCTAAATAAGCTGCTCCACATGCAAGACGTACGACAAATGCAACCAATTGAGATGCAACAGTTTGCGTTTGGCTGGACAGTGGAATTATTTTGCATTATTGATGAGGAACTGTACCTATTCTTACCACCTGTCTCGAAGGTAATTAGATCTCAGATGGTTAAAATATCCATCAGTAACACTTTGAGGACAGTTTCATAGAGCTTCACGTTGACGAACTCTTAACACGTAACACAGTAGCATGTTGGAGAGCCTAAAATGAAGTGTCTGACTTGCTGGTATCTCGCCCCTCTCTATTTAGGTTGATTTGAAATGTCCAGGTAATGTCCCACTTTTTCACAGCAGATCCCATTACTCTATGTATATTTCATTAGGCCAGACTCATCGCAGCAGCCAATCAGATTAAGTTGTCCAACGACGCACAAGGTGAATTTGAATGAGATCTGCCCACTTCTGCACATACATAAAAAAAATGCCCAGGCCATACTGAGAGGCTTTAGCCAATCAGAGGATGAGGATGTTTCCTGTCGGCGGGGCCAAAGTATCCTGATACTCGGCTTGTTGGATGGGTTGGGTTACAGTCTTTTGGTCTTGGGCAGCTGTCTGAGAAATAGCCATCTGTCCAGTCAGCAGTCGGGCAGTAGTTGGGTGTTGCGTGGCAAATGGTAGGCCGAGTGTAGAACTACGAGTGTGTGTGTGTGTGTGTGTGTAGGTGTGTGTGCAGCTGTGAGTGTCGGAGGGCTTTGGGAGGGAGGGGGGGGGGTAGTACCATGAGTAGCTCTGAACCTGCCACTGTGCACTCCCCGTCCACCGTAGGACCCACCATCGAGTGGCTGGAGCCCAAGCTGCCTGACATCCTGAAGAACGGCAGCAGCTCCCTGGGCAGCTTCACGACAGGGGAGGGCCCGCTGGAGGGGAGCCGACTGGAGCTCAGCAGCCCCGAGTCCTGCAGCTTCTCTGGGGTAAGACCAAGGAAATGACACCCTTTCTCCCCCAGTAAGCAGCTAAAATCTACACCAGAAAAAGCTTTAGTTATTAGGATGTTGATATGATATTTATTTCTCTTGATGCAACAGGAAACTGTTCAATTTCCATTTGCAACTTTTTTACAGCAGTTATTCAGTCTCCCACAACATAAAAAATCACTTACTTCCAACCCCTGTGGAGTCATTCAAGCAGGTTGTTGAATAAATCCCAATCCCCCTCCCTTCCCTCTCTCAGGAACAGGAAGACATAGATGCAGAGGATGAGGCAGAGGACTCCTTCACAGACAAGGAGGAGGACCTGGGTGCTGTGGAGGAGGAGCGCAGCGTTATCCTACACTTGCTGTCCCAGCTGAAGCTGGGCATGGACCTCACGCGGGTAGGTCAAGTTCCATGTACTGTCAAGCAGCAAAACAAGCCAAACAGTTTGTCTAGATTAGTGTTTGAGGGAATTAGGTTGGTGATTTTGGATCAGTAATCCCACAGTGAGAGGTGTAAGAAGTTTATGCTGTAATATGCATCACTGAAGTATGAAATTGAAGTCACCCACATTATCCTTCAGTTTATACTTTGCCAAAAATGATAGGGGTGACTAGAATTGTTTATTCTCCCAGCACTTCTTTCCATGTAATTACTCGTCCTGGACACACACTTAACACCAAGAATTGAGTCCTAGATAGACACTCTATCTTCTAGTGTCAGTTTGTTCTAGTATTTGGATATCCTCCTCTTGGGTTTCTGATTTATCGCATTTATCTGGCTTACCTGAGATCTAGGAGATCTAGGAGACAATGTGACCCCAAGGTCATGTCAGGTGCTCATTACATCGTCAGTTGTTCGATTTACTGATGGTAGATAATGTGGTAATGGACAAAATGGTTATGATCTTGCAATTGGTGCATCCTGGGTCATTCTAACTAAAAGAAATAATAAACACAGGGATCATATTTATTTTGAACTTCCTCCCAGGTGGTCCTCCCCACCTTCATCCTAGAGAAGCGCTCTCTGCTGGAGATGTACGCCGACTTCATGTCACACCCGGAACTCTTTGTGGCCATCACCGACGGCAGCAGCCCGGAGGACCGCATGGTCCGGTTTGTGGAGTACTACCTCACCTCCTTCCACGAAGGCCGCAAGGGCGCCATCGCCAAGAAGCCCTACAACCCCATCATCGGCGAGACCTTCCACTGCTCCTGGAAGGTACCCAAGACACCAGAGGCCTCCAAGGAGCCCTCGCAGGGAAGCGCCGAACCGGCCGCTTCCCAGGACCCCTACCAAGTGCGCTTTGTGGCAGAGCAGGTGTCACATCACCCCCCTGTGTCTGGGTTCTACGCTGAATGCCAGGAGAGGCGGATGTGTGTGAACACGCATGTGTGGACCAAGAGCAAGTTCATGGGGATGTCCATTGGCGTATCCATGATAGGTGAAGGTGAGCCAATATAGTTTTTGTATCAGCACACAAGAAGAGTAGTAAGGCCATCAGAAACATTTTTAACTGACACATAGTTAGAATGGGGGTTTGGGGAAAAAGCAAGGGGCCTTCCTGCCTCGTTCTTCAGGCAAATGGCTCAGTGTAATCAAAATAAGAGACCTCCTTTTGGCTAGTTCTGTGCTTCTTAATTAGGGCAGAAATCACACCTGGTAAATCTGTTGGCATCGTTTTGCAATTTGCACCTGATGTTTCTGTCTTCATTATTCCTCCAGGTTGCCTGTATTTGCTGGAGCATGATGAAGAGTACACCTTCACGCTGCCGTGCGCGTACGCGCGCTCCATCCTCACTGTTCCCTGGGTGGAACTGGGCGGCAAAGTCAACATCAGCTGCGCCAAGTCAGGCTACTCAGCGATCATCACTTTCCAGACTAAACCCTTTTATGGCGGCAAACTGCACAAGTAAGTCCCTCTGTTGTTCTAATCCTGTACTGCTGCTTGTAGGCATGCTTTTACTCATTCAGATTTGCCGTTCCAAATGTAGGGTAACAGCGGAGGTGAAGCACAACACTACCAACGCGGTGGTGTGTCGTGTGCAGGGCGAGTGGAACGGAGTCTTGGAGTTCAGCTACACCAGTGGAGAGACGAGGGTGGTGGACGTCACCAAGCTGCCTGTGACGAGGAAGCAAGTTCGGCCGATTGAGAAACAGGGACCAACTGAATCCAGGTCAGAAGAAGTGGACTCGTACCCTGTGGATGTTACTTCTTAGTTTAGTGATATCCTGTTAAAAGCTTGTTATTTAGACAGACCTGAGTAACATGCTCTCTTTTGTTGACAGTGTGTTGTCATTACATTGTCTGGTCTCTGCAACAGCTAAACGGTTGAATACTTCTGTGTCTGATTCACTTTATAATTTTTGTGACGCAGGCGTCTGTGGCAGCATGTGACTGAGTCCTTGCGGCAGAAGGACATCGACAAAGCCACAGAGCACAAGCGGATTCTCGAGGAGAGGCAGAGGACGGAGGAGCGGCACCGCGCTGAGACTGAAACCGCTTGGAGGACCAGATACTTCGACAGAGAGGTGAGCAAGATAAACGCAACACACTTACAGCTATGCTGCTGCTCGATTTGTTTTAAGTGTTGTGAAGATTTGGCAACGGAGCAACAGGATACTGGAGACTGCGGTCTGTTAAAGGTCATCTGTGCTCAGGCTATCTCTGCTGACTCTAAATAAATTTTAAATCACCTTGAGCATAATTTCTGTTTCCAGTTGGAGGTTCTCCGTTTCACAGGGTTCTCACCTTGCACAAAGCTATTTTAAATTCCCTTTGAATCTGGGTCATTTAAACACTTGGACTCAAGTTGGACGACTTTGATGAGTTTAGACTCAACTACACAAAAACAAAAAAGACTGCAGCTAGCTTTGTGTAGCATCAGAAAATAACCCGGGCCCCCCTCTAAAGTGCACGAGTCTCTGCATGCACGTGGGTCACGCACTGCACCATCCCCCCACCACAAGTAAATTTCTTTTTTCTTTATCAAATCATTCCCAACCCGAAACAAACTTCCTGATGGGATGGCTGACTTCATCGGATTAAATGGATTTGCTGACTCAATGCACAAATGAATTATTAAACCTCAGCTGCAAACCAGAATATATTGACCATAGTTTTCTCTCCTCCTCCTACAGGGCGAAGGCTGGGCTTATCACAAACCACTCTGGAAAAACTCTACATTCAAATCCTAGCTCCTTCAGTGTCTATCTTGGATGTCAATACTGTAGATTCAGGAATGCGTGTGTGAGTGTGTGCGTGTCTGTGTTTGCACAGACACGTGGTTGACGGTTATGAAATGAGAGCGTGACCTGCACTGACGTACAGACGAATGCGACATGGGGAGAAGGACAGAGAGACAGCACGACTGAAGGTGTTCTCAAATCTCGCTCATGATGTTCACGAAGCCTCGAAGTACAAGCTTTTGTACTGCTGATCAGTTTTTTTTACAATCCAATGTCAATGAAAACATATTCTTGTACAGGTAATGGTACTCTTATTTACACAGCCTTAAGATAGTCTGATGAATGATCCTCTAAGTTTGGGTTCTGCTGATCAACCTGGATATGGTTCTTTTCTTCTTCTTCTTTTTTTTTTTTTAAGATGTGGAAACACACAATGGTGAAATGACTTTTGAGGAGTCTCTTCCTATAATAAGATATTCAACACAAAGAAAAATGAGTGCAATGAAACTGCTGTAAATTGGAGTCAGTGTATTTCAATGTAAAGTTACAGTTTGCAATACTTCCACTGTAAATCAGTATATCTACATGCACACAATATTCTGATCTCTTAAGTGTAGCTAATCCTCTTGCTGCTCTCTATCTCCCCTGTTTCCAGTCTTTATGCTAGACTAAGCTAACAGGGTTCTGGCTGTTGCTTCATATGGAAGGGTTCGACATCAAATCTGATCTCAGCAAGAAGGTGTGATTCCCAAAATATCGACTTAGTCATGAAGCTGACGCACTTTGCAAAAATCAAAACCAAAACAGCAGAGATGAAGATACTCCGACTTTCAGTTCCTAGAAAGGGTTAAGCCCCAAAACACCTGAGCCTACAATTCCCATCAGCGCTTTCAGGCTTTCTGTTATAAATTTGAAGTCTGAAAGCCCAACTCAAGATAACCCTGATGACATCACAATGGCATAGGTGGCATATAAACATGTAATTATTGGTTTATAACACAATATAATGTAGATTTAATTAATGTATTTGACAACAGCTTTGACTCCTGTGGAGGCTGGTGTATGAACAGATAATGGATGACAATAAAGTGAAAGACAGTTGTAATAATATAAAATATAACCTTATAGGAGAAGCTATAAATTGCTGATGAACACTACTCATCTATAACCATTTTAAAATGTCCCTTATGTACTGCACTATAGTGTGTTATCAAGCACTAATTCTTAATATCCTGCTTATGAATACACCTAAAATAAATTGGTGGAATAATCCTTTAGCGATGTAACACTTCCACTGATCCTTTAGAATCAATATCAGATGATTGTGTGCATTTAGATATAAAGTGTGTATTGATTTGCATTTTCTCTCTAAATTATAATTTGTTTACTTGTTGTTTGATGCTATTAAAATTGATATATTGAATGAAGTCACGCTGCTGGAATGTGGCATGTCGTAGACCAGCTGACGAATAACCAAATTTTAAATACACAAATGACCGAGTCGCATGGGAATGCGTCTATAGATTACTCCCCCCTGTCTTTCTCTGTTTTTAGTTTAGTGGTTTAGGAGTGGATGGATGGAGGTCCCTCATGCATGGTAGCAAAGTGTCTCTGTTCACAGTCATTTGCAGGAAAGTATTCTGCTCCCGTGTCTGCATAAGTTCAATCTCCAGTCTGTTGTAAAAGCTTTTAACCAAATTTGCTTGTTTTGTAATGCAAATAAATATTACTTTGAATGCCCCGCCCAACCCCCACATTTTACGCTTTAATTGCTCTTATTTTTAGAGCCACTTTTTTGTATAGAGATGTTAACATTTCTTGTTCCATCAGTGTTTGCGTTTTTCTTTTGGAAGTAATTCCAGTCTTCTATACTGTGATGTACCTGTAAAGAACTTTTTTTTTTTTTTTTTTTTTTTCCCCCTAAAACTAAATTTCACTCTCACACTCTCAAAACATCCCAGTATCAAGTAAGAACAATTTATCTACAGAAAGAGGAAATCCACCCTGCCATTGATAAGCTACTCCCTCCAAGTCTTGGTGCCTTATGCAAACTCTTTCTGTGTGTGTCTTCCAGCTACGGAGCACATCATTTTCATCAGTTACTTACCTGACAGATGCAAAATGGCAGATGTATTATTTGTGTGTGTGTGTTTTTTTGTTTTTTTTTTGTGTTTGTTTCTTTTTAAGAACCAGTGCTTGATGTTAGAAGTGGGTGAAGCACTTTTATTCCAGGTTTTTGACATTTTCTTGGTTTTGAATTCTACTGGTTGTCTTGCTGACCTATGAAATGCACTGACATGGATGGAAACCTGATGTTGTAGAAAAATGGACATGTGTGATAATAATCAAATAAATTGCGTATCAGTTGTTAACTGTGTAACAAGTTTGGTCCTCTGGTGAGTTTCTTCCATTCTTCCTTCTCTGCTCTTTCACCCCTAAATATGTGAAACATGTTTTTTTTTTCCCAAAGTACAAGAAAATGAAACATACATCAACACAAGTCCACCAAACAGCTGTGCTTCAAATGCCCTAAGACACAAAACAGAGAAAGGTGATACTTTGGAAATACTGAATTGGACCAAAAGAATTCAAAGTGCCCTAACTTCAAGAATCAATGATGGATCCCCTCCCTTAACTATATTACCATAGCAAATCCTTATTGAAAGTATTAGAATTGAAAGTCAAATTATGTGGTCACTTTGCAAAGGCAATGAAAGAACTAAACAGACTAAGCTCTGGCTTCCATTCTGTTGTTTTCATATGTGGCTTCACTGCTGTTTAATAAGGGGATCCTCCCTCAAGGTGAAATCTAATGGAGCACCAGCAGATGGCGCCAGAGCGGCTGCGGCTGCTGCTGCTTACACAACTTATGATGAAAACCAATGCCGAATACGAGTTGTTACGTTTTTTTCTTCTTATTCCTTTGTTGAATAAGACATGTATTCATTGAGGTATGGTGGAAGACCGATCACTGGTTATTCTCATTATGGTTTATGCAGGATAATTATGTTACATCACTTACACTGCTTTTTTATCTGGGCTGTACAACTTAGAAGTATTTGTCTGATTATATTGAGTCCAGTGTACTGTTCCAGTGGGATTCCTTTAATGACAGTTGGCCCTGTTTCACAAATATCCACCTGAGAAAACTGTTTCAATAGTCCAATTTCTTATTAACTGGTTGCTTTGTATTTGTGATTGTTCATGTTTACACTGAGGACTGAAATGGTTGTATGCAATCCTGTGCGTGCTGGATGGTGTGATTAAGTCCTGCGATGTGGTGTGTGTGTGTGTAGTGTGTGTGTGGGTGTGTAGTAACCGTCCCGCCAGTGTGTGTGTGTGTGTGTGTCGGGTGGGGTTGCCTTTCACCACAGGTGTGCTGATTGCTAATTGATGGCCCCTCCTCCCTCTATTGTCTGACTGCTCTCTGCTGTGTTTGCCTCTCTGTTCAGAGAAACCATTTTCTGAAGCGACGTTTTAGTTTGAAAAAATGTGACCCAACGAGACAAGAAAACACCCTGATGTGGAATGAAGCGACGACAAGGTAACTACTCTGAACACAAATGTGTCCAAGGACAGTTCTTTTGGGAAATATTTTCTATAGTTCACTGACTGGAGGCCTGTTAACACCATGCTTGTGGCTTTAGTTTTGTCTGCATGTTCAGAGATGGCACATTGCTCTTACAACTTGTAGAAACTCCCAGATCACTTGAATGTGCAAGCTTTGAGCTTCAGTTTGCTCTCGAGTGGTAGACAGGAAGAGTTTGGCCGCAGCTGCTTCTTACAATTTTACTTTGTTTTAGCACAAACTGCTTTTGCTCTGTTTTCACTGAGCATTCAACAATGAATTTTTTATCCTTCTGTGATTCCCTGTTTTTAGCTCAGTATAGCTTGACAACTTGCATGCAGTTACCTGAGCTTATATTGACTAGAAAATACACCACAGTGTCTCTTCATTCACTGACAATGGTGGTCATCTTCTCCTCGCAGTCGAATGGATGTGTTACGGAGTCTGCTTACTGGCGCTCTGAAAAATCCAGTGAAGATGTGGAGACACACACATCGGACTGCATGAGAGGTGACCAGATGATAACAGTAGAAGTTCAGCTTCCAGCTGTGAGGGGTGAGTTTCAGTCACAGACAGATCCATATTTGGGTCATAAAACTCTGTGTGTGTTCAGTTGTATGTAGCATGTTGATGTAATGCATATGTGTATACTGTGTTTTTACTTCCTGCTGCAGCCACTGGCTGGAGAATGCCTTCATCATCATCTATTGGTAAGATCCTCTGCACAAATGATATTTGCATGTTTTTTTTTCTTTCTCAAAATAAGATAACATTCGCTGCTTCCTAAAAATCCTTCATCGTTACATTAAGTCAGTTTTTATTTATCGCCCCTCATCACAATAACACGTCTCACATCACTTGACTTTACTAATCACAAGGAATTATGAAATACAGTGTGTGGCAAAAGTAAGAGATGACACACAAAATAGTGTAGGCACAAAAAGTGAGAATATTGTGCTTCTGAAACCTGAGTAGACAGTGAGTGGCTGATGTGAGCTCCTGTCCACTGAGTTCCCTTGGGAAATATAGAAAAAATGAATACATCTAACAGGGTTCACATAAGATTTCTTTATAATTGCACCTTTTTTTTTTTTTTTAATGTGTATTAATTGTGTGTTTCTGTTCGTTCTTTGCATCTGAGTCTCTGCTGTGGCGCGACCCGGCCATCACATCTGATGTCATCCGCTGTCACAGGAGTGTAATGAACTGTGAGTTTCATACAAAAAACACAATTAAGGCACAGAATGTAAAGTTGGTTCTGACACCACACTTAATCGTTCCACCACATCTCCTCCACTTCTATCGTTCCTGACTCTTTCTTAAAACAATTATCACCTCCGCCACTGTATGATTTTCACACATATTCAGCCCCCTGGCTTGTGTGGTCATTTTGACATCTTACCTGAAAACCAGTTAGGTCTTTCCTCTAGGCATCAGATAAAGAGTTTCAGTGGGAACATCCCTCACCTAGGGGACAGCAGCATCTTGGTGTTCTGGATCCAGACCTACATTAGAACGACTGATCTGCGCCTTGTTCATCGGGGCTTCCAGCAGCTCCGGGGCTGTTACAGGCTGTGTTTGTGATGAGTGTTAATGTGGAGAGTTGTTGTTCAGTCTTCCTGACATCCTGGAGAGTGAGACATCTTCAAGGTGAAACCGCAGGAAAACACATTGGCCAGCAGATGGTGCCAGAGAGGGTGATGGTGAAGAGACTGATGTTAAAGATTAAAATGAACCAATGCAGGCTGCTAATTCCATTTCTACTGAACTATTAGTTACTCTATAAATAGATAATACATTTCTGCAGTGCTTCTGAAAATATAAACATCAATCACATGATGTGTATATAACGATTCTGATTTGTGCATTATTTAATTATGTAAAATAAAATACAAAAATGTGACAGATCTCATTACTTCTTTCAGATAAATTGCCTCAACTCGCAAAATGTGCATTCATCACATAATAATCAGTCTTTTATGAAATGTATATTTTGTTTGATTTTATTTCCCAAGAGTTGATATCAATAAAAGAAAACGTATTTTCTTCAGTTCATCCTTCTTTAGAATCACTTTCTAAATGCATGTGGATGAAAAATGTAATTAAATCATGATTGATTATCCAAAGCGATCCTTTATTTTTTTGATTTTATTTCCCAAGAGTTGATATCAATAAAAGAAAACGTATTTTCTTCAGTTCATCCTTCTTTAGAATCACTTTCTAAATGCATGTGGATGAAAAATGTAATTAAATCATGATTGATTATCCAAAGCGATCCTTTATTTTTTTTATTGCATGTTTATTTGTATAGGAAGTATATAGCATGAACCTATGGCAAATACCACAGCTTTTTTTTTTAGCCTAATTTGAAATGTCCATCCTCCTAAGGGGGTGGCTTTTAAAATACAAAAGTCACTGCATAGATCTAGTCCCACCAAGGTTGGTACATGAAGTCACTCATACTCAGAACACAGAAACATTGTTGCAGAGGTTTGTCTTTTCCATATTAAAAACCTCCCCCTCTGGCACCGTCATGAACGTAAACACCATCCTCTAAAGTGCAATCTGGGAAATGAAGGGAGGCCTAACAAGGACTCTCCACATAACAGTCTCATCGCCACAGCAACAAGGTAACCTGTGATGGCCGTGTAACCGTTGGAAACCTTGGTGAAGAGGATGCAGATGAGTTGGGGGGGGGGATAAAATGGTGTAAGTCAGGTCTGAGCCCAGGATCCAGAACACCGAGATGCTGCCGTGCAGGTAGGTGAGGGATGTTCCCACAGGCCCTGAAACCACCACAGAGAGCAGATCACCCGCTGCATCTCTTTATCCCACGCCTAAACAGAGGAGGAGCATGTGATACTTGACTGAATATTTACAGCTCAATAAGGATGATGTGGATGATATCTACAGTAGAGTAGAGTCCTGATGCTCTGCTATATGTTGGTGCTAGCACATGAAAGGGAAAGACATCACTGCAGCAGAAATAGCAAAAGCACAATTATTGCTTGGGCTAAAGTGCACCATTCAGACACGAGGCAATTCAAAGTGCTTTACAGGGGCATGGAAATACATTGAAATAGAACATAAAATAGCATTTCAAACAATAACAAATTTCAATTCACAGCATTTTAAAATAAGTGCTGCAGAGATAAAAGTTGTTAAAAACAAGCAAATGCATGAGATTAAAAAGAAGTCATGTAAGTGATTTATTGATGAGCTGCAGCACATATTCATGTTTTAAGCCCTGGTTGGAGTAAGATGATGATGGTGGTGTTGAGGAAGCTTGTTCCACAGGCGAGGAGCAGAGAAACTAAAAGCTGCTTCTGATTCTGGGAACACTCAGCAAACCTGTTCCCAGATGACCTCAGGGGTCTGGATGCTTCGTATCGTACCAGTAGATCGGAGATGTGTTTGGGCCTGAGAGCGTTTTGTGCTTTATTAAGTGGTAGGCTTGGAAAAATATATCCTTTGATACACAGGAAGCCAGTGCAGTGATTTCAGGAGCGCTGTGATGTGCTCCACTGTCTTGGTGTTAGTCAGGAGTCTGGCAGCAGCAGCAGCAGCAGCAGCACTGTGGATGAGCTGTCTGGTTGAGGTTTTTTTTACTAACATCTGTGAGGACACTATTACAGTAGTCAAGCCTGTTGAAAACCTGTTTTTCTCTATCCTGTCTAGACAGAAATCCTTGACATGTTTTTAAGATGGTAACAGCTTCATTTTCTCATTGTCTCTGTGGCTGTTGAAGTTTAGGTCCTAGTCTATAAGTACACGCAGACTTCTGACTTGATTTGGAGGTTTTATTGTCATGGATT